TCTTCATCCTTACTATTCATGGATGTCTCAGTTTCATTCACCTTCAGGTGCACTGTGGTGCTAGCTGTAATCTATCAAAGCAGCATCACCAGCATAATTGCTTGCGAACCGCGAAAGCTATTCTTTCCCTCTCTTCCTTTGCCTCTCTCTTTGTATCGACTCAAAATGCTCCTTTAAAAAGACAATCCAGGATCCAGGAACATCCCAGAGTTGGATCGACGATTGGTAAACATGTTCAACTTCAAGATCTATCCACTTTTTTGTTATATCTCTCTCTCTCTCTCTCTAAATGCATATATGGTTTCTTTCCAAAGACTTGGTATAGGTTCAGAAGCCCTACGCCTTCCCTTCCAAAAGCGCCTCCCACCAACACAACACTCCACATCACTTGATTCTCCAAGGTACCCTTAAACACGATTTGCTGACGTCCGTTTTGACTTGTGCTCGGACCCCCTCCCTCGTCCACCTCGGTGTTCCATCCATCCGCCTTCAGTTCCGCGTCCTCCGCGCGCCGTCCGCGCGCCGTCCACGCGTTGTTTTCCGCCTCGGCAGGTGGATTCCTTGGTCTCAAGCGCTACGCGCACGGGTCCGGCGGCCGAGCGAGCGAGCTCCGTGTCAGCCCGTGGCGGCTCGGTCCCCGGGCTTGAAGTGGTGGTGTTTCGGTGTGTAAAGGGGCCAATTGACAGACCCAACTTGGTCGCCTTGCTATGTTAAGTACCATGCAGCCTACAGTCCACGGCAACATATCATACATCCACCCAATGCCAAGTACTGCGGTTCCTTAAACGATTCATGGAAACGGAAGATCATCTATCTTTCCTGTAAATCAGTTGACCCATCCAGTCCAAAGAGGACAACCACCACGACCCGACCTCCTTTTTTTCGCCAGTCCAGGTGGAGTCCTTTGGTGCTGCAGCTTTGGCTGCCTGTCCCGAGGTGGTCGGGCTCGGCGGTGGACCGTACCGTGGAACGTTTTCCGTGGTTCCACGTGTCGGTTCCGCTGGCGGTTTTTCGATGACGACAGCCACATGGCAGTTGATTAGATCATTTGGTTTTAACGGATCAGATGGCCTACAAGAGATCATTGACAGAATCACCCAGCTTTTGCTGGCTTAGAGCCTAGCCATGCCAGATGACCTGCCAGACCCTGACCTGCCAGGCAATCAGCCGCCTACCAGCGGATGCATTTATGTCTTTGTTGACAAGTGAGGACGGCGGACCGAGTTCACCCGAACACCGCTCCGCCGCAAAAACCGGAACCCGCCGAAAAACCCCGGCTCCGCCGAAAAAAGCCGGGCTCCGCCGAAGAGCGGCGGCGGTCGGCGGTTGGTGTGGCAGGATTTGTCTGTGGCAAAGGAAGAAGAAATCTTTGATGCCGTCCAGGCGAGTGACGGCGTGACAGGATGTCCGATGTCGCATTGGGGATTTCTATGAAATCAGGGGGTCCAAGCCAGATCAATGTCGATCCAATCATATCGATGCTACATCTCCATTGATCAATTCTACATGGGATGGATTTTGAGCCGAAGATGGCACAGGATTTAGGCACTATAGGCCATCTGTAACAATCAGGGGTGCGATCAGATATGAGAAACCCCAATTATTTTTTGCGGAAACAGGATCTTTCAATCGATTGAACAGATCGGCCTAAATGAATCATGGGGAGATCAGAAGGCATATAGGTCATTATAGGTTTAGTATTTTGTTCCGTTCATTTCAACTTCCAGATCGATCTTCCAGTGTCTGACCACAGAGTTCCTTGTGAAAAAGCCGCGCAAACCACCGCGCCCAGGGCTGGGCCGCTGCAGCCAGCGAGCGCAGCGAGGAACTGCGAGATGCGGGGGGCAGCCGGCTTCCGGTGAGACTGGGATGATCCTGATCTGGGGATTGCCAACCAGGTTGGTGTGATTCGATGGTTGGGGAAAGACCCCCAAGCATCTTGGCCCTTCAACCAAAGGGCCATGTCTTGGTGTTTATTTAGTCTGTTGACGGTCTGTTAAACACGTGGTGTAACCATGTTCAAACATTCTCCCATATAATCTCCCATTTACCACACACCCACGTCCCGTCTCGTCACTCGTGTCGTCTGATCTTCTCCTTTCCGACCGAACACGATGATCACGATGTCGTTCGGATGATCCACCAGGATCCGGCAGCAGCGTGGCAAAGAATTGCTGAAGCAGATGTGATTTTATTTCATTTGCTGGACCCAAGGCAGGCGAGGGAACGAGGGAACTGCAAGGAGGGAACGGCGGCAACTGATGAGTTGCCGGACATTCCGCCTGGCTTTCCCTTTTTTTTAGGAGAGAGAGTGGCACAAGTGATCCCAAGTTTAGTGGTTTATATAGACCTCCATCTGTAAGTTACATTTAAGGGTTGTGCCATCTACTCTGAAACTAATTTGCTTGTTTTCTTACACTGAAAGCTTGTGGAGTGCGAGACACTGCCTACCATTCGTGTTTTTTGCCTGGTGATGCCACAGGTTCTTTGCGGAGAAGGTGGTGTTGCCGCAGACTTGGTAACAGGGCCGATGACTTGCCATGACAAGGATCATTTCATTCCGAACCAGAATATCCAAATGTACCCCCGATGTACGCCCGTTTATTTTTTACTCTTTGGGTGTCCAACAAGTCAATACGGAATCCATGCAATGTCACCACCGGACGTTTTTTGGTCCACAAAGGCCTGATCACAAGCAGCAACCCGATCCAGTCGCTGCTGGTCGTATTGCGTTGATTTTTGGGTCTCCAGTGAGATGCCCCCAATTTTTCAGGTTGGGCCGCTTGACGCAGGACCGCTTTTTCTCTTTTAAGGGTGTCAGGGAACATGTTTGCTCAGAGACGGTGGAGAAAGGCAGAGGAGAAACTTTCGCACTTTTGAGACCTTGAAATCCAATGTAGACCGTTGATTGTTGATTGATATTTCAACCTCCCTCAACCTCCCGAAGGCTTACAATCCAATTGGAGGGGCTTGATCAAACCGTCCCGACCGTCCTACGTCCTTCGAAAACGAGCCGGGGACCTTTTGCACAGCTCTCGGACCGGCTCGGTCCGCGTCCTCCGTCCGAAGGCGCACCGTCGACCGAACGTTCTGCACTGCAGACGACCGGATTGGCGTTTTGATTCGACGTAGTTGATGTGCCCTCCATTCTTTCAGATCATCAACTTGTTCGCTGGGCTGTATGCCATACGGAAGCGTCGCGCAGGAGCAAAGCCTGTCGGTGTTTGTGTCCAGAGCGATGGGAGACTGCCCGGCTCGGCCATCAAGCCTACTGGCAAGGCGCCGGAGCCTTGCAGCCAGAGCAACAGGTCCCTCAGATCGAACTGATGGTCCCCCATCTGGATGGTGTGCAGACTTTTTGGTGATTTTTCACCAGGTTTGGCCCTTTCATCAGAGCCTCATATTTTGAGAAGATGAAGTAAACGACGAAGGCAGCACCTAATATATACCTGTGTGCAATCTTGTTTCAAACACCCCGACGCCGCTCATCGCGAGACATCGCAGTCAGCTGTCAGCTGCAAACCCCGACCACCGCGACAACCGGCGTCGTTTCGCCGCGCGCGCCGCGCGCGAACGGGGCGCGGCGGACTGGGCGTGCCAGGCTTCAGCTGATTCTCCGTGATTGCAGCTACGAGGAGCGCCGGTTGTTGGGGGCGGAGGCGTCGGACGTGCCTGGAGCAGATTTGGACATACCCAGCACCTTAAAAGCTATATTACTAAAAGTCGGCATCTTATACAATCAGTGACAAATGAAAGCCCGGATGCTGAGAAGTTCGTCTTGTCATGTCTTGTCACCCGGGCTGTTCGTCTTGTTCCAAAGCGCTAGGGCTCGCCGCGGGGTCCGGTGTTCACCGATGTCAGGACACAACGTCCATTATTGATAGCATCATTGAGCTCAGGCGCCGTCTCAGCCCACGAGCAGCTTCATCCGATGTAGTGAACAAGCTGTTCGATCTGAGAAGGAAAAGGGGCAGAAACCAAAGTACCAGTAGAGCCAGAACCCTTACAGTAGATCACTGTAAAATGGGCCGCAAAACAACAATGGATCAAAGGCGGAAGATGAAAGACTTCGGGAGCTTCGGGCGTTCGATGAAACGGTTTTTGGTACTGTTTCAGGGCAATGCGGTGAGTCTTTGCTTTTCACTGAGAGTTGTGGCTGATGTTAGGCATGAAGACACCTACCCGAGAACTCTTGCCCATTGTCTTGTACAGAAAGTCTTCAGCTCAGGATGTATGCATGTGCAGGATGTTTCTGTTCTAGTATAACTTTCTATCAGAAACACTTCTTCTGCAAGAACGGAGAATGCAGCAAGCATCTTTTCAGATTGCAAGGATTGCTTACAATTCCGCGAACACTGTCAATCGTGCGTATCCTGCTTCACTGCCAGTCAGACTCGTGCAGCAAGTGCTTGGGGCCAAGGCTTTGGCTGACTATGAGCACTGCAGTGAGTCTCTTGACCTACAAGTAGCGATGCGCGCAGCACGTGGCAAATGGCAATGCCTTGCCCATGGGAATGCGAGTGTCAACTGTGTTGGTTGCGGATGCCTCGAAGTCAACTCGAAAGGCCGAGGACATAACAAACCTGACAAAAGGTAATGATGTATGGATCTATCTACAGATCCAGCGCTCACATCTACAGAGATCCAAGCTTTTTAATGTGTCACTTGATTGATCTAAGACGAAGCAACTGTGGCCAGTACGCCAGTACTGCGGCCATATAGGATTGCAAAATAAAGGACGAGATCGTGGGTCTGAGTCAAACGCAAACAAATATCTTGGGATCCAGGGGTTTTTGGTTGGTTTTCGATGATATTTTGTGACGATTCGACGATTCTACCTCGATTCCACCATATTCCACCATCTAACCCATCAAACCATCCATAATCATCCATTTCCATTCATTTCCCCCGAAAACGTATGTGCAAACCGTAATACGTAGCTTTGCAAACCTCTCGCTTCGGCGCCCGCTTCAAGTGGTCGTGGTCGTTCGGGTAGTCTAGAGTACACCAGGTCGAACGAGGCAAAAAACCCCCGGTGGAACGTACCAGGTTCTTCTTTTTGGTCCAATGATTTTGCCATCTTCATATTGAATTCTTTTAACATGAACATATCAAGTGAATTCAAGTGATATATAGCCCACTGATAGCTAGATATTCAACAACCACCCCCCCGGGGTGAACAGCCCATCTCCCGCCTCTCCCACCTCTCCCGCCTCCGCCCAGGTGGGTCAGCATGTGGACCGAGCTCTGGGGTGCCTTGCGCGCCGCGGGCCTGCGCGACGAGTGTGCCGCGGGCCGAGCCGAGGGTTTCGAAGACGCGGTGAGAGGGGAAAAAAGGAGGGGAATGATGGAGCGTTGGTTTCGGTTTGGGGGGTGGAGGCGGTGGAGGGGGGAGTGTTTTGGAATGGGGATGAAGTAGTCCTTGTCTTGCAATTTCTCGCCCAACATGCAGTGGCAGGATCAGATCATTTGGTCCCTTTGGGCATAGTTTTTATATGCTTTTACATCATCAATCAGGTTGACCTCTGAACATGATTCTCAGGGCATTGGAAACGTTCAGTTCCAGAACGGCACAAAAGTCGCTGAAAGCCGCAAGCTGGCGCTTTGCGGGCTGCTTTGCTGACAAAGATGCGACATGCACCTTGACAAAGACACATGCCAGCGCCAACAAAAATGCCGCAGATGTCGCAGATTTCGCTGTGCGTGGCTGGGAGCTCACACAGCTCACACAGCTCACTCGCTGAGGTTCGAGCTACAGTTGACTACTGCCCAAAGCTCGGAACATGCCACGCGACGCGAAGCGGGACTTGCCGGGACGGACTTATGTGCTGTGCCTTCACACGGGCGGACTCGGACGGACCGGGGTTCTGCCGGTGTCACGGGTTGCTCGGAACGGCCGTTCTGAGGTCAGAATTTATTTGAAGAGGAACCGTCTCCAGAGAATTTAGTTGGAGTTTGGATATGCCCACATGCGGGGAGCCCAGCTGGCCCCAAAAAGCTTCATCCGAACAAGTCAATGCTCTTGGTGCTACTTCAGGGCTTCTTCCTGGTTCCTTCTCCATTTTGAGACACACAATATCACACAATATATGAATGAATTCATATCAATTTTCATGGCATCATAACAATTTAACAGATTTCTTGCAAACTGCTCCTTCTGAGGACACACTTGGCTTGGTGCGAGCATGAAGCCAAGATCAGTCTGAACAGCAAACAGTAAAGTTGAAAATGTTCATGTGTCTCACTCAAATGGCAAGACTTACGAAGCTTCGCACGGTGAACAACTTTCCCATCCGAGGATCCATTTAATTAACCTTAGAGTGGAGGCATATGTCCCCAAAAGGAGGCAGACACGACTCACGACACCTCACGACCCACCGCAGTGGAAACCCACGACTGCGCCGACGGCCCGCCCGAGACACCGTGGCAGCCCAGCCGAGTGGGCCATGCGCGGACCACAACGACTGGGCTGGGCGCAGGTCTTGTGCAACCTCAACGACTCGCGCAAGCTGGCGGTGCTTCCTTTGATGAAGGTCCTGGAAGCTCTCGTCCACCCCTCAGCTTCCTTCCTCGGAGACCGCGGTGGAAGCGTGTGTTTGTGAAGCGGACACCGTTGGACACCGTGTGTTGAGTGTCATGTTATGACTCATTTGACTCATTTGTCCTTACAGTGGATTGTGACTATGAGTCGAAACAGAAGTTACTGGATTTCAAGATGGCTGTACTATGCTGTACTATACCTTCCTCCCATATTGCTTGGTCGAAAGATAAGCCCATGCAACAAGCAAGCGCACCTCTTGAATGAAGGACATCCGGATGGCAGCATGGCTTCTCCTCTATTGGTTGGTATGCTTTTGTGTGCCCGCCTTTTGGTATGCCTTTTACTGAAGTTCATACAAAAACACCAAAACACTCAATGAGGTAAATGACCAGGTAAAAACCTGGGTCAGACTGGACCTGTTTAGCTTTTCGTCGTGCACTGAACCCTTCAGGTGCGAAAAGCTGAAGAGTCGGCACCGCAAGGAGGAACGACCTGTGACCCAGCCACGGCCGTCGGGAGCTCTGGTAGCTCCTCACACGGCGGGAGTTGGGTCGCTCGTTTTGTCTTTGAAGCCCAGACGCTCCGTTCATCCCTCAAAACCGGGATTGCTTCGGGTCCAAACACCCCTCGAATTCGGGCTATGGCCCCACTGAACGCAGGGTCCAGATGGGTCCAGGGTCGCGGTCTGGGAGGGGCTTTTTCAGGCACCGCGGAAGAAACGGTGGTTTTTCTTCCATCGGCCTGAGCGGCGGTCGCGGGACTGTTCAGATCCTGACCTGTTTGGACCAACACATGGGGTAAAAAGACATGTCAATTTCAACATGAACCAACATGGAATCTGTGGAAAATCAGAGTCGCATCATCCTTCCTTCGATGTGTGACCCGGTTTCCTCAGGCCAGAGAGCTGGCGGCGCACCTCGAAAAGGCAGGGCGGAACGAACGAACGAATTCCACGCGGGCCGGATTGGTCGATTGATTGGCTGATGGTTTTTTTGACGTTAACCCTGCCTGCTGTGCCGTTCTGGACACAAGGAGATACAAGGAGGACATCGTTATACACAGTCACTAGACCTCGATGGTTCACCCTCTCTCTCTCTCTCTTCCCTTTTGTTGCTGTTTTTGCAGCTTCCCCCTGGTCATTTCACTGTGCAGTTTCCATGGCTCTGACAGATTCGATTACGAAGCGGCCATTTGATGGCTTTGCAAAGCCTTCCGAGCCTGTGGGGAGTCTCAGAAGAGCAGAAAGCATCAGCACATTAAAGCCTTCGCATGAAACATCTCGCGTCTTCTCATCCGGTAAATTCCATGTGCCTGAAAGGGTTTGGGTGAAACCATGTAAGCAACTATGTGAGCAACCAGCAAAAGCGATAAGTTCCTGACAGATAACCAGACGCCCAAATGGCTGAGTACGTCGCACACGCACCGGCCGTGCTCCATCTGAAAGCCTTCCCGCACCGCTGAGCACCTTCCGAAGCTTCCGAAGCTGAAAGGTCTTCGAATAAATAGGACTGTCTTCCTTGACCGAATCCGCTTTGCCACCGAATCCTCCCTTAAAGTTCGGCCTTTGGTTTCGTGATGTTTGCCGCGGAAACTGAGGCAACAGCGCTTGGAAGACCTGCCAGAGAATGGAAGCTCTTGACCAGCCGCGCTTCACTTTCGCAAGCGCTGAAAGCGCGTGCGTTTTTGGCGCTGCGCAGCGTTTTGGGCGCCTTTGAGAGGGTCATGGAGGTCAAAATTATGGTTTTCCCAAATGCATCTTTTCAGAAGACCGATCCGAATTGGATCACAAACAAAACGTGCCAATTTGGGCACATGAAATTTGAATTGGATTTTGGATTTTGCACGCGGCGACGCGTGCAACATGCTCTAGTCGAGACACTGCTGGGGTAACCGAGACAGGCCCGCGTTCTAGACACTGAGTCGGTAGTTTTTGAAGATCGGTGGGCGGTGCGGCTTACCCTGCAGTGTTTTCGTTTTGGGTACATCGTACATCCGCCTGCCAGTGGCATGGCCAAAACATGTTTTTTGTTTGGAAGGTAAAGACGGAGGGCGTGAACAGATGTCCATGGCGAATGCTATGCGGAGAAAAGACGGGGGCCCGCTTGGCCGCGTGATTTTGGCGCTCAGCAAGCGCTCAAGAATCTCGGAGCATCCATGGTGTCCTATGGGTGTCATCCATGGTGTCCTGGATTCCCACTGGGTCCATCCAGACCTGACCCTCGACCCTCCCACAAAGGCTCCCTGTGTCCACTCCTTGTCGACTTTCAGGTGACTTCCCCACCCTGCGTCGCCCAGTGCAGCGATCGGTGAAGCTTCCTAAGCACGCCCCAAGCCTGATTGGTGCAGCAGTTGCAGAACGCAATAGGGAACCTGAGAAAACAGTCAAAGGGAGACTGAGAGTGCATTAAAAGAGATTGAACGGTAATTTTGAACATTTGATGTTATTTGTTTTGGATGCCCTGAAGAAACAGCATGTTGAAACGCCCATCAGACCCCTAATATGAGACCCCTTGCTCCATCCGACGCACCTCGCCTTCCTCATGGCCGATGGGTGTAGCGCCGCGGACGTGGTGTTCCGGAGCATCTCGTCCGACCCTGAGCTGCACGGGAGACGTGACACCAGGTTCGAGTGCATGGCGTGACACCAGCCACAGTGGAAGAGGTTAAGATGCAGGAGAGACTCGTGAATGATTTTCGGACAAGTGGTTGAGATATGTGGAAATAAGATAGTTTGATTGAACCACAGCTAAGTAGATTTTGTGCTCAAGCTTTCGTGGACATAATCTTGGACACCACCGACTTGTCACCATGGCTTCCGCAAAGACTTTCCTTGCTGCTGGCGTCCTTGCTGCGCCTTGCGTGGATGCGTTTGTGGCGCCTAGCGCTCAGGGTGTGGCATTACGTGGCTCTGGCCCTGTGTCTGCCCAGTCCGAGTCCAGCTTTGGTGCCTCCTCTGCCCTTGCTACGGCATCTGCTGGTGTTGCTGTGTTGGGCTTTGCCGGCGCCAAGAAGCCTGTCGCCCGCAAGAATGTGCTGTGTAACTTCAGCAAGGAGACCCAGATTGGTGCTATGGATCCTGTCGGATTCTTTGACCCTTTGGATTTTTGCAAGGATGAGGCTACCTTTAAGGACTTCCGCGCCAAGGAGATTAAGCACGGCCGCTTGGCGATGATGGGCGCCCTTGGAATGTTGACTCAGAGTCTTGTGCAATTGCCTGGCTTCGAAGGTGTGCCAAAGGATGTGACAGCAGCAACTGTTGGCAACGGCCAGATTGGCTTTTTCTTGGTCATTGGCATCATCGCTGTGCTTGAAGCAACAGTCTTCGTCCAGGATGAGAGCAAGGAGCCAGGCAACTTCGGCAATCCACTGCCTTGGTTTGATGACTACTCGGACGAAATGAGGGCTCGTGAGATCAACAACGGACGCATTGCCATGTTTTCAGCTATTGGCCAGATTGCAGCCGGCCTCTATACAGGCAAGGCGGGACTTGAGCAGTTTGGCCTCTAGCTTTTAATTTCACTTTTCAGTCAGAGCTCGTCATGCTTTTGACTCCAGTCACACTTGTGACTTGTGCCAGATGCGGCAATAGCTTTGCAGACGCATGGACATGCCATGAGACACGGGCAGTGTGGAACAAGTTTTGTTTGCAGCTTTGGTGTTTTGCGTTGGCATCTCCTTTTCCAAGCTTGTGTTTGTAGGGGACATTGCATCTCAAGTTAAACCAGAGCTAATGTCTGCTTCAAACGCAGAAAGCTGTTCTTCCTTGCACCTAGACGTGCTCAAGCTTTCGTGGCTGTTTCCACAAACGAGGTGCTGAGCCCTTGATCTAGGACGTGTGTTGAACTTCATCCGAGACAGGTCGATATGTATGTTACATACTGACATACCCTCGAAGCATACCTCTTGTAAGATGGCATGTTGGCTTGTGGAAGTGTTTTTGATGTTGAGTTGCGCTGGTGGCTTCAAATCATTTTGCCTTCAAACCTCAGTTTTCTTGGCATTTCCTTGTCGGAAAAGCCATGGGCCATGAACCTATCTTATGTCAGTGGCAATCTTTCCTTTTGAGCAGGACAATGGTGAAAGGCATGAAAACAATATGAAAACATGGTTTTTCCAACCCACATGCTCCAAAGACACTCCTATCCCAATATGACATACCCCGAAACATGCCCGACAAGAAACCCAGCTGAAGGCAACTGCAGCATTGAAAACGGAAACCAGTTGCACACTTTGGAAACATACTCTTGGCTTCAAAATGGATTGCTGCCTGCCCTATTTACAAAATTCCTCACGGTTTTCCCTTTGTCGAGCCAATGCAGTGCGTGACACCAGTGGCACTTATTGTGGCGCTCAAAATATCTCAAAATCCTGTTAGGACAGCTATAGGTGCATATGGCAACACGAAGAAGCCAGATCCGGCAAAGATTTCGCAGACGCGTGGATATACCATCACACACGGTATCACACATATTGTGTGGAAAACATGTTCTTGAAAAAGATCTGCCGGATCATGCCGGATCTCATATATAAATGCGTATGGCGGTTTGCCATATGGATGGGAAATTCACAGTAAATGTGCATCTCTTTACCCCCTCACCCCAGCCGTTTGCGACGGGTTTGAACTCAGACGAGCCATCCCTCGGCACAGGCTCCGACCATTTCTGAATCATCCTGGTCTCGATACCGAAGGCGGCGCCGCTACACGAGCCCTTCGGAGCGCGAGCCCTTCGGACACCTGGGTTGGGCAGAAGTGGACTCCGTCGCCAGGTGTGGCTTTTCACAAGCCCATCCCGGTGCATACTTCTGAGGTTGGAGACGTTGAGACGTTGAGACGAACTATGCAGCGGTTTTTTGCGTCGTGTTTTTGGTTTTTCTTTCGTCACAGGGCGGCGCAGTGAGTCGAGTCGGACGCTGTCCTGCACGTGCAATCATCTCCACTTGGTGTGTCAGGCACCCAAATTGGCGTCCTCCAGCCGTGTGGAGAACTCGCACGTGTACTGGCACTAGGAACTCAACCAATGATCTTGATTCATAAACCCCCATATATAAGAGGTTCTTCAATTCAAGTGGAGGGGGGGTTATCAATCAAGATCCTATAGAATCTAGAACATGTCAAAAGTTGCAAAACGCTGCCACTGCTCTATAGCTCCTATGGAGTGGATGCTTGCTGCCTTGGAGGCCACCGGCCTCACCGCGCCCTTCGAGGAGCTGCGGTTCCCGTCCGCGTCGCCGGCGTCGCCGCGCGGTCCCGGCGCGGCAGCGCAGCGGCGCCGGGAGCGCGGCGCTGGGCGCGTGCACCGAGGGGTGCCAGGCCCAGTTGGTTCCGGGGGAGCTCTTGGGGATCTTTGTGGCACGGACCGGGAAAGGACGGACAGGGAGACATTTGGCAGAAAAAGAGCACAGTGGCACATCGTGATCCAAGAGCACGGTTTTGGTGGTGATGGGTCGCTCAGTGACGCTCAGTCAGTGATTTTGGGGGGGGGGGCCGGTCATCACGTGGTGCCAGGCCTCAGACCGACCGGTCTGGAGACGGAAACGAGCCGCGCCACGCGTGAACGAGCCGCGCCAAGGCACCGGAGTTGTTCATGGTTTTTCCTCGGGGATGGCATAAGGACTTGACCAAATTGTTTGGCTAAGCTCTGACAATGGGTTCCTACATGTTCCTACACCATGAACACCATAAACATGAAATGATTGATCAACGGATGGATCACGGAGGCAAGAGGAGTCCACCTCGGCCAGGATCTGAGAATGATGCAGATGATAATCAACAACTATCCTCCTTCATCCCTTGCAGATGGAAGCAGGCAGATGATGCATTTTGTCCAATCCATTTTCAACAACATCCCAACAATTCCCCAACTTGTTCTTTTTCTATCCATGCTTGTTGGTACCGAAGGGGTGTTTTTTTTTTTTTTTTAACCTGGTAGTCATCCTTGAAGTGACCCGTAGTGACCTGGAACAGCATCCCCAACCAGAACCACTGAGTCTGATCCATTTGGTTTCAGAAAGAAGATGAAAGAAGCTATGTACATTAAAGAAGATCATTGGAATGCACTGAATGCACCGTTGTTTCTTCGACATCACCCCACTACCCCAGTAGCCTGCAGATCCCAACCCGAGGTGCCCATCTGCATAGGCCGGCGGTGCTGGGCGGCGCTGGGCGGCGCTGGGCGGTGCTGGGCGGTGCTGGGCTGGTCGGTTCGCGCCCCGGAGGCCAAGTGGATCGTCGCACCTGGCCGAAGCGAGCCAAGCAGGTGGGGGGCGGGGGCGCGGCGGCGCGGATGAAGCGAACACATCCAGCCAGGATGGTGACTGGATACAGTAGTCCTGTAGTCCTGGTAGTAGTCTTATAGTGGTAGTCATGGTATGGGGGGGGGTTAGGTGGAGGTCTATCATTCAGCCGAATTGGTGGTGCATACTTGCTGCGGGATCTAAGTTGCCAATCCATGGTCCTCGATCTATTGAATTCTTTTGGTCGATCTTTGTGCCCCAGCTCACCAAGGTTGCTTACATTTTCGAAAGAATTTTGTCATGCTCCAAGGATTGCGGTTTTTACATCCTTGTGATTCTGTAGTGGTGGCAGTGGAGGTCAACTTCGAGTTATAATCACAAAATGCTTAGCGCAACCTGTCCAGGGTCACTTGGTTATGTATTGTCCAGGTTTGCTCGACCGTGGCATACCATGACTGTCGTGTCGTGTCTCCGGTTGTTGAAACTGCAGAGTTCTCGATCGACCGTGCCACCGTGCCGTTGTGCCGGGCTCCGGCTCGGTCGGGAGTTCACGGAAGGGGGACCGTTTTGGAGCATCTCCAGCCACCATTTCCGTGTCAATCCGTGACGATAGTCTATTCCGTATAAAAATTCTACCCCATTCAACCCCCCCCATATCAAGAGGCGTTTCAATCCAAATAAAAAAAGCTCATGAATCCAGTCTACAATTGGACTTGATAGTGTTTGGGACGCCCCGTCGACCAAAGGGATCCCAAGGGCTCTCGCTCGACGCCCAGGGCGAGGAACTGCCGCGGTTTTCCGAGGAGTGCTGGGGTTGCAGGTGAGGGGACGCCTGGTTTGGACAGCCTTGGCCAGGAAGATTCGCCTTACTTATCCCAAGCGAAGACACGGAGTTGGGGGTCCGAAGTTGGGGGTCTTTCACAGACACCGGAGGGGCCCCCTAACGTGTCACCATGTTGGAGGATTTTTGATTAATTTGGGCTCTTCTTACTGATATAAGTCATTCCGGGCTTCCGTAGTCTTTCGTAGCCCCCTTGGTGTTCCACCAAACCAACCCCCCCCCCGGTGGCGTGGCACCTCACCGCCCACCTTGGAACGCGGTGCCAACTCTAGGAGCCCGATGATCCGCGCGTCTTCGTGCCCGCGCATCGCATTGGGGATGTGGCTGGCCCAGCGGTGGAGGGGTGTTCACAACGGATTCATTCTTATATTCATATTACTTCATATTATGTCTTTCTTTCTTATAACACATGTTCGTTATATCTTTAATTTAGACATTATATACACATTTGGACCGCTTAGATCCGCTTAGCTGGCTTGGCTTGTTGAAGACGAGAACCCGTCACTTCCACGTGTGTCGTCGGGAGCCCAGGCTCCGAAGAGATCTTTTCTGCCAGTCAGTGATAGGAAAGACGACAGGCAAGGCTCTCAGAGGTGGAGATGTGGAGTGAGGGATCATGAGGCGTTCTGACTGAATAGCCGCAAGGCGGACAAGGCGGATGGCTTTAACGGACGTTCGGACACGCCACCATGGGTGATTTCATGCATTTCAAGTACCTCGGATTGCATTTGGACCCTCCTGGCACCCACCCCAGTCCCACCTTCGCAGAGGGCACTTTATGGCCATATAGGGTGCATGTTGTTTTGGGGATTTGGAACTTTCAATTGCAGAGCCTCTTCACAGGTCTCTCATGGATTCTGTGAAAAGTCACTCTGTTCATCTCGGTTCTATGTCGCCAATTCCTTTTGGCTCGGCCCCGCTGGTGATGCGGCTCCGCTCTGCAGGCCGAGGAGGCACTCCGAGAAGCGATCATTTGGACACTCGTTTGGATCTCAGGGAGGTGGCGCCGAGAGTGCGGCGTGATGTTCCAGGCAGGGTTTGCCATGTTTGTAGGTGTTTTCTTGCTAAGTGGCCATTTCTCATGCTCGTAGATGGCCAGGCATTGGAATTCCCGGTTCTGATATGAGCGGTGGATAGTTTTTTAGCACGATTCAGCTATTGACATGAGTTCTCCTTGCAGCAAAGCATGTAATTGTTCCTTCTCCGCCTCCCTTGCAGCCTTCTCCGCTGGTTCACCTCCAAACTTGTTTGTCGCTCACTGAGGTCTTTGCCATGCCTCTCTGGCAAGCAGATGAAACTGCACAGCTCCTCACAGCCTGTGCTGAAAGCGCCGGTGGAAAAGTCTTCATTGGCCAATGCAGGCCAGACAGGTCACTGGCTAAGCGGGCTAAGGCCCCACGGGTGAAAACGATCCTTTGCGACTTAGCGGGTCCATTTTTCGTGGTACAGTACGTCTCAGTCGTGGGACGATTTCGTCGCAGAAGAGGCGCTCAGACTTTTGGGTTAATGGCCACGACTGGCCAAGTGTTGAATCTGTTCATGATATTCTTTATTATAGGTCAACCGTTCAACCCCGGTCAATCCCCCATATATGAAGAGGTGTCCGCACATCCAAGTCGGGGGGTATTGAGAGTCTCCACTGACGTTCTTCTGCCAAAGAGAAGGATCCAATCGATCCAATCCACTTCAATTGGCCAAGTCCGAAGGTCGGGCTTTCCGGATTCCTCTTCGTCCAAAGACTTGGGGCTTCCGCAGATTCAGGGACCGCCAGATTCCGCGACCGAGTCGACTTGGGCAGCCCAGAGCGAAGCGGCAGACGCTGCAGGTCTCTTGCAGTTCATGCTGCCTGGCTTGGGCTTTCCTCCCCTGGCTGAAGAGGTGCCAGAACGCGAACGCGAACGCAAGCGCACGTGCGGGTGTTTGGTCGAGAACATGATGCGGTCGAAAGAAGCAGCGACAGGGAGTGACGTTCGCTCTCCCAGTTGAAGAGATATTATATGAAAGATCGAGTTCATGAAATTCATAAGTACAACTAAAGTGAAATGATCGTGTCATGTAAGATCATGTAAGCATAATTATGAGTTTCCAAGAGTGAGAGAAGCTCGGTGAAGCCGAGCTTCAAGGCTTCATAAGGCCTCAGACGGCTTTGCAGATCTTCCAAGGCCAGAGTTTTTGCCGGTCCATTTCTGGGGCTCAAAGAACCTCCAGAGAACGCCCTTGCGCATCACTTCCACCATCCTCGGCCCAACGTCTCAAAAAGATACGTCGAGAAAAAGGAGGTCATGGCGCCGATCGTGGAAGTCATGGAGGTCCCGCCCTTGATGTGCAACTGTACCATCCTGGGAGATTCGGACACCAAAGAAGCCATCGTCGTAGATCCCGGAGGCCGTTGGAGGAGTGAGCTGGGGAGAGTCTTTTTCGGAGGCAAACGTTGAATCCATCTGGGAATGAACGGACTGTTCCAGGGACTTTGGGGAAGGCAGGAAAGGTAATGGTACAGTCTTGCGTTTGGCTTTTCAGAGTTTCTGCCAATGAAAACGCTAGTCTCTTGAGGTCTGTTTAGATCTGTTTAAAGTCATTATCAGGAAGAGATGGTGCAAGCATATCAAGCATCTCCTGAGGCGATGTGGACAAGATTCTGGCCAAGCTGAAATCTCATGGCCTTTCTTGCAAGAGGATCCTAATTACGCACGGTCATCTGGACCATATCATTGGGGCAACGGAGTTGAAAAAGGCGACAGGTGCAATGATCCTGATGAATCAGAATGACTTGTCCTTGTACCAAAAGGTGAAGGAGCAGTGTAGAGACTTCCGGATTCCACCCCCGCCGGACGCCTTACTGCCTCCGGACGACTTCCTGTCGGATGGCGATGTGGTGCAGTGGGGTCCAGAGTTGACCGTGAAATGCTTGCACTGTCCCGGGCATACCCCCGGTTCCTTGTCCTATTACTTCGAGCAGCAGAAGATCGTGTGCCCCGGTGACACCTTGTTCCAGGGCTCTGTAGGCCGCACCAGCTGGGCTGGCATCCCGTCGCTGCAGGGCACCAGCGACGCTCAGATGATCATCGGAAGTATCAAGGCAAAGCTCCTGACGCTGGACGGTGATGTGCGAGTGATCTCGGGCCATGGGCCGGAGACGACCATTGGTCTGGAGAAGGCCACGAATATGTTTCTGAGGATGTAGAAGGATAAGAGTCCCAAGAGTAGTGGAAGCGAAGGGGTGAATGGACCCTCCCAAGAAAAAGACACATGGAACCTGGGAAGAAGGAAGAAAGACCGGTTTCGACATCTTTCGATCATTTTAGTCTTTAGAACCCCAGTTGCAGTGATTTTTGGGTTCCATGTGGTCCGACTTGGGGAGTAGGTGTAGGATGGTAGGGGGTTCCACCCTGTCGTCGCAGAAAGGCGAGCTTTCGCAGGGCATCACGGGTGATTCGCAAGGAATTGCAGGGCATTTCGATTTCAGCAGTTCTTGCATTCTTTTGCTGGGATTCTTGGGCCTCTTGATTCTTCAGAGATGTTGGATGATTCAGGCAGCCACGTATAGGTTTCCCAAAAGTGTTTTCCCTTTTTCCATTTTTAAATATTTTTTCTATCTTGAAGCTTTTCTTTCGTTTTCTTGGCCCTGGCGCAACACCATCTGCGGCGCCGTCTGCGACGCAACCATTTTCGCGTTTCAGCTGAAAGGTGGCCTTCGAGGAGCTTTTTCAGATGTCGTGTATGAACGATCCAGAGGCAAAGGAGAGCACCAGAGAGCTTGGGTTCGAGCTTGGGTTTGGGGTGTTTTTGGGGGGCACACACCGTTCCGTTTTCGTTTTGCACCGTTCAATTGAATCCCAGGTGGGGAGACGTGGACGAAGGGTCAAGCATGGTCAAGCCGTGAAAGGTGTCGACTTCAGTTGGGTCAGAGTTGCATGGGCGTTCCTGCCCTAACCAATGGGGCGTCCCGAGTCTACAAATGTCCAGACTTGTTTTTCTCAAGTTTCTCCAAACTCCAAATATCAACTATATATGATATAGTATATATGTGACAATCAAGTCCAAATATCAACAATATGTCAATATATGTTTGACAATCAAGGACATTTGTAGAAAACAAGTCTGACCATAATGTCAATATGTCATATGTCATCATATGTCCAGTATACGACCCTTTGAGAACCCGATACGGCTGACGCAGGTGGAGCTGGATTCACAGCTTCCATGGGGAGAGTTCTGAGCGTCGGCCAGCAACGAGCGACTTAGAGGTTTGTAGTGAGTCAAGATCAAACATGTCATGCGTTGTGAAAAAGGAGTGGAGACTAGAGCCACTGCAAGACCATATAATTTTCCACCATGAATCATGTGCGTCGACGTCGTCATTTCAACGTTTCACGCATTTGCCACCTGCCGAGGCAGGTTTCACGCTCAAAACGAGCAGTGCCAAAGCTCGATTCAGGACGAAAGGATCCGTTTTGCCATGCCAAAAGCTGATAAGACTAGATGGGATGATTTGCCAGGATTGTCTCGGAAGTGTTTGTCGGTCGATCTATTTACACAATGACTTTGCAAAAAGAAAACCCATTCACTTAACCCGGGAGAGGTGTGACCCTCGCAGTTCGATCCGATCGAGAGTTCGGCCAATGGTTCGGCCTGTCAAACCGGAATCCGACCTACCCAGACGCTCCGTTCACAGGCCTTGGTCCCTCAAGAGCGGGGTTGGTGGGTTGGTCCGGCCCCTACTGAAGGGTCCAGGGTCGCGTCTGGGTACCTCTTGTTCGGAGTTTGGCCGGAGTGGGCCAGTTTCAGACTCCGCCTTCCGTCTGCAGAAGCGCAGTTCGCACCGGTTCGAGCTGATGTTCTCGATGTTCGAGCGCTGAAGCCGGCCATTACTCGATGTCCGACCTCTTCGGCTCAAAGCCCCAACATATCCATCCCATCGACCCGTCAGAGCCGGTCGGAGCCCGAGCGACGAGTCACGCCAACGACAGCGAGCGTCTTCGACATGCGACGACGCGTCGCTCAGCTCCGATGAACATGATCCAGATGCATGGCGGTTCCGCGCGCGGGGAGCGGTTAGGGGGCGTCTTCGACTCCGAGACTTTGGTTGCGGCGATGGAGAGACATTGGGTCATCCACAGTGATCGGTCACCGGGTCCATTCGTTTCGCCGCTTTTTTGGGGAAGCGAAAACGGATCGAAACAGCCCGAAACAGATGGAACACGATGGAACACGATCACCTGGAAGTGGAGTTCATGAGTTCACCCCCCTGTTTGTGGAGGATGAAAGACCCCATGGGGTGCATCTACTTCTGTGATGTGTTCCGAGTGTGGGAGGATCTCGGGGCCTGCGTAGTGAGTGCCTGCACCGTCTCGGCGAAGGTCACCAGTCCGATTCCGACGTGTCCTCATGCAGGCAGGATGGCAGGATGGCAGGATGGCAGTGCCAAAAAAGAGAAGGGCACCGTAGTACCCAGGGTGGCCCAGAGCAGCCAGATGTTGCAGAAACTCAGCTAGAGTAGTATATGGAAGTCTATAGTGCACCTCGGACGTTCATGAACAGCAGAGGTGTTTTTGTTGGGTTGATTTGTAGGACCTATAGGCAGTATACGGAGTATACTAAGAGGAAGTCCTAGGTCCTACAGGTATATGGTATACATATGGTATACATGTATTATGCAATAGGACTGTAGGAGTTCTTCATGTCCCCTGCAGGGCCGGCAGCGGTCGGACCGGCGGTCACCCCAGTCCGGTGGGCCCAGACGACCGACCGACGCGGGCGCTCTGGCTCTCCGGTCCGGCGTGGTGTCCGGTGGGGGTTCGGCAGAAGAAAGCATCAAGATGTGGGTCAAAAGCCGGATCCGAAAGTTGTTTAAGATATAGTCATGAGTCATTTATATGTTCTACATATGATACTGTTCTACCTCGGTCAAGCCGGGTTTGACGAGTTTGACGAGTTTGTGCAAGAGACGAACCGAAGGCTTCTTTGATCTGGCGGAGGGGTAGATCAACAAAGGAAAAGAGCTGTGTACACCTGTCGACGAGTGTTGCTTTGGTTTGCTTCCGGGAAGGCGTCATGCACTCCATTCCTTCACACTCGCCATCACCCATCCCACGCCCACCTTGTTTGCGAAGAGTAGAGGAAAGCCGCCCTGCCACGAATCGTGGTCCTTTGTCCTCTTGGTTGCAGGCCATTGCTATTAGATGCTATTAGGTTGGAGGCCGCTATTGGGTTGGAGGCCATCGCTAGTAAGTTGGAAGCCATTGCTATTAGGTTCCTCTGCTTGTGTTTGGCTTAGTGATTTCCTGGAGCCTCCTAGACCTTAGTGATTTCCAACGCACCCATGGTGTGACACTCGAGTGGCACATGAACAAATGACACCATTCTTTAAACTTATAACATATTAAAAGCCTCAAAATAGATTTCAATGCACCTCGGGTGAAGGCTCCTCACTCTTCCACTCCAATGCATTCAGGCCAGTTCCCACTCTTCCACTCCATGAAATTCACCCTCCAAACGACGGGGGTTCCGAGGTGTCCTGCAGATTTGCTCCCTTTTTCTTCAGCCGATTCTGGGGAATCCCGAGTCCAAGGCAGCCATCCAGGGCGCCCGAAGCAGCGGAGGCGAAGAGATTCACCGTGACAACGTCAGTCGTGTTTTGACAGGTCGCCGGGTCAAACAGTGACACATCGCCATTATCCACAGTCGTACAAGAAAACGGTTTGACATGATTTTGTGGTATATATCATACAGCATATCATGGCAACTACCAGCACCCTCCAACAGGTCACCACCTGCGACTTTTAGGTCAGCAAAAGCCTCCAGAGGAGACCTATTGGAGGGTGTTGGTATATAACATATTTCTTATTCTATCCCAGACGCTGCAATCAGGCCTTGGTCCCTCAAAACAATAAACATTTGAGGGTGGACCCCTCCATATGAGGGTACGGCCCCTACTGAACGCAGGGTCCAGCGTCGCGTCTGAGATATATTAAATGTGTAGTTTCATCATGTTTCATCCACCCATTTTCGTGGTTTCTTCGGGGATTGGACCTAGCTCGACGAGAGTTTCTGTTGGAGAATGGATGTACAAAAGCTTTGCAGTTGTTATTGGAACGAGGTCGTAATTCTGTGTGGAACCCAGAACGTTTTCCACACGATGGCCTCAAGAAAATGCCTCACTTGGTCACCTTGGTCCGACCTTGTCCTTGTTGGGGGGAAGATCAATGGACAACACGTGGGAGAGGCGGTTTCTGGTTGCCATCATCTCAGGTTTTATCATCCACTCGACTCGAGTTAAGTCGTGGCAGGCGGCTCCGCACGAGCGCGCGGCGCCCGTGGGCGCGGCGCCGGCCGGCGCGACCTCGGCTCAGGTGGGGAGGGCATTGGAACCTGAATGAACCTGACGGGAGAAATGGAGAGACAGCGAGTGAGACGACCCGGGTGTTGGAGCATGTTTGACATGATCCAAAGGGAAGAACATCCAGAATTGAGAGGTTTTCTGGATGGATAGGCTTGTTTTAGAAAGCAAAAGGGTGGAAGAAGTACAGCTTTGGGATGGGACACTGCCTCGAACCATTGGAATTTCATTGGCATCCGACGAAGCGAGGCGACGCCACCACCGCAGCTTGGCATGTTTCAACGCATGGGCCGCCATTTCTTTGAGGTTTTTTCGCTTGGCCCAGCAGTTTTCGGGCTTCGAAGGGCTTCGAAGGGCTTCGAAGGGCTTCGGCGCGGGGTTGGAAAAGCTGTGGAGGGAAACTGAGCACTGTCGATGGTTGCTCAGGTATATGCCGCAGACTCCTTCCAGCTCAGATCTCAAAGATTCTCCAAGTCTTGCAGTCGCGTGACAGATCACGTGGATACCCATAGCATCGTGTTTCGGCACCAAGACTCTCCGGACATGGATTCGTTCAGCCACGATCGTCAGTACTATCGGTCATTCATATCGTCTTTTGGAGAACAGAACGCTTGGTGAGTTCGGTGGTCGGTTCGGCCTCACCATTCGAAGTGCCGTTCGGTCCTCAATGGGTTTTTAACCGTGGCAACAAAGGCTCTGAGTTGCTGGATGTCGACGTCACGGTCTTGGCCTTTGCACAATGGGCGTGTCACCTCAGCTTGAACGCGCGCAGTTCGCGCTGCGAGGTGGTCGATGGGCCAGGATGGGTGGTAGAGATGGGCCGCGCGGATGGGGAAGTCTGTCGC